GAGCTAACTAAAGCTAATAGAGCTAACTAGAGCTAATTAAAGCTAATAGACCTAACTAGAGCTAAATAAAGCTAATTAAAGCTAAGAGAGCTAATAGAGCTAACTAGAGCTAATTAAAGCTAATAGAGCTAACTAAAGCTAATAGAGCTAACTAGAGCTAATCAAAGCTAATTAGAGCTAACTAAAGCAAATTGAAGCTAATAGAGCTAACTAAAGGTAATTAAAGCTAATAGACCTAACTAGAGCTAAATAAAGCTAATTAAAGCTAAGAGAGCTAATAGAGCTAACTAAAACTAATTAAAGCTAATAGAGCTAACTAAAGCTAACTAAAGATGATTAAAGCTAAATAAAGCTAGCTAAAGCTAATTATAGGTAATTAGAGCTAATTCCTGTTGTTTTCTGCCCCCCCCCAGCCCTCGTGTTCGACGGCACCACCAACCCGGTGCACCCCAACACCATCGGCAGCATCGACCCCCACTGCCAGGTGGGGGACGTGGTCCAGGGTGAGTAGGACTCAGACTCAACCTAAACCTAAATTTCTGGTTCCTGGTTTGTGTTCTCACGCCCCCTCTCTCTGCTCAGACGCCTTCCACAGCGCCAAGATGCTGTGTGAGCAGTACTACCTCTGCTCCCCGGAGCTGGAGCTGCAGGAGATGAACCGTAAGCCCCCCCAGACCGTTTTATAGGGATATTTAAGGCTCTCCGGGGTAGGATTGTCCCGATCCCAAATCTGGGAAAAAATTTGCATCGGAAAATGTCGATTCTTAGACTCCCGGTCCGATTTTTCCAGATTTCCGATTCAAATTATCCATCACTGATGCTGAGTTAATAGACTATTTTCTATTTCTGTTTTTATTTATTCAGGTTTTTTGTGTGTTTTGCCTTTTTAATATAGTTCACAATATTATTTGCACTTTTTACTTTTCACTGAGGCCATTTCTGTTTGTTATTTATAATTTGGTCTATTTTGTGTTTAAACCTGAATAGACAGGTCAGTGTCTCTTTACCAACCAGTGTGTCTTGAATTTACCCTCAGGGATCAACAAAGTATCTATCTATCTATCTATCTATCTATCTATCTATCTATCTATCTATCTATCTATCTATCTATCTATCTATCTATCTATCTATCTATCTATCTATCTATCTATCTATCTAT